TGCTTAAAAGTTATTAGATACTAGATACTCAACAAAAACCTAAGTACATACGTTTCTATTATTTTATATATATATATTTAATTTTTATTAAAAAAATTAATACATTAATTTCAGCAATGACTGAGCTATTTTTTACTGTCACAGATGTTTTATCCTTAAATAACTGTATTATAAAATTACTTAGTTGTGTTTCAATTTGAGTAGTGTTTTAATCTTATTAAACATTGGCACAGTATTTTTATTCTATTTCTATGCTATAAAAGTAATAATTTAACCTTACTTTAGTATTTTATAGTCAAAGTAAATGTATTTATTTACAATCACCTGCCATCTTGAAAAAAGACGTATTCATTAAAAGAGTAATACATTATTTTCAACAGTATTGTATATTTTGAAAGTTTAGAATATTTTGCTATGCTTAATGGCATTTTTAAGAGGGCAGGCAATTGTAAAAACTGTGGGGGGGGAATCAGCAAAAAATCCATAGGTCCACCTGCCAAAGTAGCATCAATAAATTTTATTCCCTGTATTATTTACCTTAAAAAAAAAAAAAGAAAGAAAGAAAGAAAGAAAGAAAGCTTTGAAGATTTTATATTATGTTCAAAGGAGTATATTTTTAACATTTTCTGGATTAACTTTATTTATTAAATATCATGTTCTTTGCACTTCAACCACATATAATTCAATTCAACAGCAATATCACAAAATATTTAAAAACAGCATATTTACAATTTCCTACAGACGGTCTTGAGCAGTGAAGATAAAAATGTTTTATTCCATACATTTGTTGCCATGCTTGCTTTGAAATCATTCAGTTTCTTAATAAAAAACTTGATAAAGTTTTACAGAATATGAAATAGGTAATAAAACAAATTTGAAATTCCAGACTCGGGCTTATAAGTGCCCATGTTTGGGTGGAGTATTACGTTATTCAAAATTTGATGGCTCTAGGTACTGTCATATTTTCACAATGTGAGAAACATACATACATTCATGCAGATTTCTAATTACAGTCAAAAGTCGTTAATTCGGACACCCATAATCCGGACCTCAAAGCTACAAACTTTCTGCGCATGCGTCGCGTTCACGCGTGTGCACAGGCGTTTACGAGAGCGCGTAAGACCCTTACGGCTGCGAATATGTTTGTGCGCATGCACGTTTAAATTGTAACAGAGTTATACGCTAAGCTAAAGTTATCTAATTCAGTTAATGTTGCCGATTGCGTTGTTCCTTAATCTTCGAATTGGATCCGGCTTATTATTTTTTGCAGACTGTTAGATCAATTTTATAAAAGTAAGCTTGAACTTTCGATTATGTCAAATAGAATTTCCGATATATATTTACTACAAAGCGAAAGTATGTTTTGAAATCCGAAATCTGTTTATCAATTTCACACTGCTCTGAGGCACAGAGGGGGGGGGCAGAAACGTCATTATTAGATTATGATAGATTAGAAAGATTATGTCAAATAGAATTTCCGATATATATTTACTAATATGTAATTTGTATCTACAAAGCGAAAGTATGTTTTGAGATCCGAAATCTGTTTATCAATTTCACAGGGCAGATTGGAAGTTGATCTGTCAGCACTATCCTTATCTTCAGGGCAGATGTTTTTATTTTATTTGGTTTATAATTCCATACTAAGTGTAGTATTTCATTCTGTCTTTGATATGATTTAAATCAAGTTCCTCCTCATTATAATTCGCTTCGGATAGTGAAGAAAGTGACCTAGAGGTTATTGAAAACGAAAACATTTCGATTGACAAATTAGTCCGTATTCTCAACACAGCAATTATAGGACTTGAACAGCGGAACTTTGTAACTAAACAAGAAATTATGTCTGTTTAATAGAATTAAAGAGAAAGTATTATCACATGAAATGAAGCAACTTACATTGAAGGAAATGTTTAATAAAGTAAACAAATAAATATTAAGCTTTTTCTTTTTGTAAATTTTGATACCCTTTAGATCATAATTGTTCTTTATTTCATAAATTACGGTTTCATATTTTTAATTTTATAATTTCTGCATGCCATCTTACCAGATTTAAACTGATGATCTATAATCCGGAATAGCCGAAGTCCCGACGAGTCCAGATTAAGAACTTTTGACTGTATTTAATTTCTTTAAATATAATACAGGGCAATAATATTTGGGGCAGCAATTTAAAACATGATATGCCACCAAATGCCGTTTTGAGACTAAACCCTTTGGGCTAATAAAGTTCTTGGCAAAATTTGACTGTTGTTATCCTCTTGCAGCATCAGTAGATAAAATGTAGGGCTGTTGTAAATATGATCTGCTTTCCCTCAAACCTATTTCCTTCTCTCTTCACACTATTTTGTCTTTACTTTTCAGTGTTGCACATCCTGAGTGCGTTTTGCTGGACGTAAAATTTCAGTTTGTGGGAATGAGAACATTTGTAATATTTTGGCAGTATTCCATGGTTGTAGAAAAGATTATAGCTCTTGTTTTCATATTTCTCAAATCTCACAAACCTATAAAGAAAGTAGTGAATGCAGAACATATTGAAATTAATTTAACTTTAGCATGAAATGAGGTAGCCTGCCATTTACATATATAAATGTTGCATACCAGTATCATAGTAGCCTAAGTGTATATAGTTGTAGAACTATTTCAAAACCCCAAAGATCATATCCTGATGAATTTGGCATGCTGTAATAGCATATTATTTGTATATTATTACTACATACCAATAATATATTGGCATGTAAAAGTAACTTTATAAAATGGTTTCTTATTCCTATGCTATATCAGAGGTGTTATTGTTGTACTTATCTACATATATGAGTGTACATTCCCCAGAAGGATTTCAAACATAAGTTCAAAATTGCTCATCATTTGTTTCAGGTTATGAGTGCCAGTGGTGACAAAATGACATTATGCTCAGTACTACCTTAATTATGCTAACATGATAAATATATCTCTCGTGATGCCAAAAATATACCTTGTAGTTGTTCTAAGACTTTTCACTATGTTTACCTTCTGCATTCATTATGAAATAAATTCAAAAATGCTTTGCAACTGAAAAGGGATTGCACGTAGGGCCTAATTATGTACAGTCAAAAGATTTTCCGGATTATAGATCATCAATTTAAATCTGGTAAGATGGCATGCAGAAATTATAAAATTAAAAATATGAAACCATAATTTATAAAATAAAGAGCAATTATGATCTACAGGGTATCAAAATTTACCAAAAAAAAAAGCTTAATATTTGTTTACTTTATTAAACATTTCTTTCAACGCGTGCATGCGTAAAGCATACATTACGTATAGTCGAAATTAGAAAATTGCAACCAGAAAACTATTGGTGTGTATTCATGATATTTATAATGACGAGGAATTTGATTTAAATCATATCAAAGATGGAGTACATCGAGATGAAATACGACATTTAGTAAGGAATAATAAGCCGAACAACTTAAAAACATCTGCTTGAAGATAAGGATAGTGCTGACAGATCAACTTCCAGTTAAATGCGTGCTGCAACGTCCCCCCTCCCCTCCGCAGAGCAGCGTGAAATTGACAAACAGATTTCGGAATGGTTAAAGAAACAAAAGATATGCCTCTATCCATTTTTTGCAGCAATTCCACTTTTTGTTTGATAGACATCGAAATATGCTTTCACTTTGTAGATCTTTGGCAGTATCCAGCATCGGAAATTCTATTTGACATAATCGAAAGTTCAAGCTTACTTTTATAAAATTGCTCTAACAGTCTGCAAAAAATAATAAGCTGGATCCAATTTGAAGATTAAGGAACAACGCAATCTGCAACATTAACTGAAATAGATGATTAGATAATTTTAGATTAGCTTATACTGTCCGTTATACATTAAACACGCATGTGTCAATGTATTATGCGCATGCATCAATGCATATGCGCAGGGCGTAAAGGTACGCACATGCGCCAGCGCATAATGCATTGATGCATGCACAGAAAGTTTGTAGCTTTGAGGTCCGGATTATAGATCATTCTGGATTATGGACATCCGGATTAAAGACTTTTGACTGTATAAGTTTTTGATATGTTGAAATTATTTTTGATGTGAATAGCTATACTTAGAAATAGCAATAAAATAAATGGGTTTCTTTTAATAAATTATGTTAATATTTTCTTGGAACTATGTTACATGTATAAGGTTAGGTTATGTGAATATAGCAAAGCTCACAATGGGCTATATGTTGAATGGGAGGACTGTTTTTGTGCAGCAATTTCTAAGAGGAACTAACTCAGATTCACATTATACATGAAAATTAACCATGCAGCCAGCCCATTTGCCTGGATTCAAATGCTCAAATGCAGGATGAACTGCCAGTATTTAGTAGTTTTTAACAATTTGATTTCTGATGGAGCACTTACATGTGCTTTTGAAAAAGCACTTTAATGTTTAAAAAAAAAATTTTTTCTAATATTTGGATCAGCAGAATAATTTTAAATATTTCATTAATTAATCATGCTGAAAATGTTAGTTCTGTATTATAACTTTTGCTTATTTATACTCTTCCATTAAAAATATTTTCTTATCACTTTTTCCAGAAAGTTATGTGTTACAAATGGATGATCAATTTAATTAGTTCCACATTACATTTAATATTAGTCGATTGCTGTAATAAATATTACTTAAGTATTTTGGTCGTTTTAAATTTATATGCTCTAAGAATGTGGAAAACATTTAAGCAGGTTAAAGCACTCAAAAATTCATGTATGAAATGAGGAAATGTAGATTGTTGGGAGAATATTTTCTCATCAGCTTTTTAATTTGTATAGATCCTTTATACAAATTAAAAAGCTATATTAGTAATATTTTTAATCAGTTTAAATTATTTGATGATCATTTTATTTATTTCATGAATTTTATTGTAGTTTATAATATTTATATTTTCAGTTTTGTGTTTACTAATATAATAATTGCAAATTTGTTCATTTAAATTTATTATTTACCTTAACATTTAAAATTATCTTTTATGTAGGTTACACATGAAACGTATGACCATATAAGGTTAAAGAAAAAATTTGACATTTTAAGGTCTACAAGACATTTTGGACCAATGGCATTTTACTTTGCTTATGAGAAAAACATTGATGCATTGTTAGTGGATATGATCGAAAGACAGTTGTAAGTATATTTTTTTTTTCTTCTAATGCTGTGGAATTTTTTTATGATGGATCTCACATTATTCTATTCAATATGATCGCATATGATCATGGAAATGATGAGATACTAGCATTAACCCTCTCGCTGTGCATCCCACGATTTCCATGGGCAACGTAAAAGTAGCAAAATTTGCGCAACCTGCGATTTCCGTGGGAATGAATTTTGCAAATGCTCTTTTCCTGTTCAAGGTTTCTTTTTGGCTTTTCTGTGATGTTTATTTAGATGTGGGCTAACAGATAGCGTTAGTTGTCCACATTTCTGTCAAATATACAAGAATACGTAATGTAACATTTTGCTCGCGCTTTTCAGAGCTCAAAGATGTTTGGCAGGAAGCGTTTCACGAGTGATATATCCTATGTTCCTGAAGACATTTCAGACACTCATAGTAGCCTGTCTCTGATTTCAAGAATATTGAAGCTAGTTATAGCAAAACTGATGACAATTTCTCAGATTCCTCTGCAGATAGTGATGAATTTGAAAATTCAGTTTCTATTGAAAACGTTCGACAGTGGTCCAAAATAGATATGCAAAATACACTCATGTCCATAAATTAAGCATAATGCAAAATCAGGCAAAGGAAGAGTTAGAAGCAAACCAAATTTGACTCATTTGTAAAGCTTATTTATTAAACAAAAGGTAAAGAGCAAAAAAAGATGCTATATGTTTGATATTATTAAAAAAATTAGCGATTTTTTCTCCCTGGAGCAAATTACAAAAAAAAAAAAAAAAAAAAAAAAAACTATTACAAAAAAAAAAAAAAAAAAAACAATATTACATGGTTGGTATGATTGTTAATATATTGTATGTCTCCCAGATGATGCAATACAGTCCATACAATGCCTAGGCATGCTGAGTATCAAATTATCGATCTGATCTTGGGGGATATTACACCACTCAAAAAGCAATGCTCTCCGAAGTTCCGGTAGACATGTAGGAGGAGATTGACAGGCTGCAACTTGTCGGCCAAGCATGTCCCACACGTGCTCTATTGGATTCAAGCCCGGTGAGAATACTGGGCAGTCCATACGGGTGATATCCTCCGATTTAAGGCATTTGCTTATGATGTTTGCACGGTGAGGATGGGCGTTGTCATCCATAAACACGATGCCCCAAAACAAACATACATGTTGTTCCAGAATGCCGTCCTGATAGATTTGGATTGTCATGGTTCCAATTTGAACATGCAGGTCAGTTCTGGAACCCAGAATAATTCCACCCCAAACGAGCACTCCTGCACCACCGTAACGGTGTCGTTTAATGATGTTTTCTTGGTGGTAACAGGTACCTGGAGCTCTCCATATGAAAGTTCGGCGAGAATAAGACTGCAAGCTAGACCTGGACTCGTCGGAAAACATCATGCAAGCCCACTGTTGCGGTGTCCACAATGCATGTTCTCTACTCCAGGCTAACCACAGGCGACAGTGAGTTGCAGTAAGTGGAACGCATCTGACAGGTCTACGAGCATATAGACCAATCTGCCCTAAGCGTCTGTACATGGTCTGCCTTGAAATTGTCGTACCAGTGGCTGAAGAGAGCTGACGAGACAGGTCTGAGGCTGTGCTCCGCCTGTTTCTTTTGGCAGTAACTGCCAAATACCGGTCCTCATTCAGCATTGTAACTCTGGGGCGACCTGTGCTGTAACGTCTACTCGCATTACCATCATCTTGGAATCGTTGCCAAAGCCTGGAGATGACACTCTGGGCAATTCCAAGTTCGTCTGATACTTCCAGTTGGGTACGCCCACATTCCAGACGGCCGATAATTCTACCATGTAAAAAATCATCCAAATACGTCCTTTGTGTCATAACTGTTCAGTTATCAAAATATTTTCATTAGTATATATGTTTTTTACCTTTGTATTTTGTAAAATAAATCATAATTTAACCAATATTATTTTCAAAATTTTCCTTTTATATCATTATTCTTCAATTTCAGTATTCTGACAACCTTTTTTTTATGATAATTCTGTATTTTGAAACATTTAATAAAAAATATGCAATTTTTGAACCTATTTTGATAAAAAAAAAAAGTATGCAGTGAGAGGGTTAATTACCCTCACAGCAGTATATGACAACTTCATTCAAGCTGTGATTTCAGGTCTTTCATTTATTTTTATGCAAAAGCATTTGGGGAGTGCAAATAAAGTAGAGTCCCACAAACTCAACTTAATATAGACTGAGAGGATGATGAATAACCAAAAATGTTGAGTTTAACGGAAGGAATGGGTTATTCACAATTCACAATATTTTTTCCAACACTTCAATCCATCTTGATTTTATTAATAAATTTCTCTTTTTCCAGTCCCTTAAGGCAGTGGCTGTAAACTGGCAGAGTGCAGTCTGCATGTAGCCTACAAACACATTTTAATTTGCCGTATTTTACATGACCCATGAACACATTTCAGTTTTCTAGAAGAGCCATATTTGTTGTAAATATTCTTACAGTTTTAAAGAATATATATATGTACTGAGCTTATATGCGAGACTGCTGTTTAAGGGGGAAAAGAAAGAATGGGTCTTGTCTTTGATCCTGAATATGTGTATGCTAGGTCATGTGGTTGTAATAACATGAAAAACTTCCCATGTAGGTACAATCAGTAAATTTAGTGCCCAGCCGCAGTTGGTGGTGTTACAGCTTTGTGGCTTTTCTAATTTTTTTTCTGTTGAGTTGATACTTTTAATATAAACACTTATAACAAAACAATTGACGCACCAAGAAGAAATCATCCGATTGCTCTGAAATTTTGTATGCATAAATGTTTTGACCACATTATGCAAATGATTATAAAATTTGATGTCCAGTGAATGAATAATGCAATCTCCAGTGCATCGGAACTGCGCATCCAGTAGATAAGGAGCTGTTCTTGAACTGTGTTAAAAATTTCTATTGCATTGCGATTTAGGATACCTTTCAATGACTATAAAAATGCATTGCAACAGGATTCGAGCTCATAACAAGCAACTGTCAGAATTTGAAAGAGGTCATATCATTGGATAGAAAGAGGCAGGTTGGGCAAATCGGAGAATCGTTCGTCATATGAGTTGAAGCGATGTGGCAATTAGAAGATGCTGGCAAGAATGAGTGGACAGTAGCAGATTCAGCGTCATGATGGTAGCGGTCGACTTAGAGCTGCAACAGATTGGAAGGACAGAGTGATTGTCAGATCAGCTGTCACAGTGCCTAATTCATTGCTATCAACCATCAGACGTGCGACCTGCACATGAGTGTCCACCATGACCATTCACAGACGGGTGATAGAGCGAAATATACGCTTGTAGTGATTGTTACACTACCTGTCACTCATGCCTGCACACTGTCAAGCCAGATTACAGTCTTGCTTGACTTGATCAGGTTGAAATGATGCTGACTGGGGACGTGTAGTCTCTAGTGGCGAATCCCACTTCCAACTGTGTTGTGACGATCATCGAAGATGTGTCTGGAGACGCCCAGAGCAGCATGCTGATTCTGCTTTCACTATTGCATGCCACACAGGCCCTCAACCAGGAGTTATAGTCTGGGGTGCCGTTTCCCTTGATAGCCTGATTCCTTTGGTCATCGTTAGTGGCACACTTACAGAACAGCGGTACGTCGACAACATTCTAAGACCTGTTTCGCTACTGTTCATTTTGCAGTACCCTGGCCTTATTTTTCAGCAAGATAATGTCAGACTGCATATAGCACAAGTTGCTATGAACTGTCGTACAGCTTGTCAAATACTTCCTTGGCCAACTAGATCTCTCTCCCATCGAGCATGTCTGGGATATGATGTGAAGATGACTGCATCTACCAGGGAATGTTGATGATCTAGCATGACAGTTGGAGCAAATTTGACAAGAAATACCGCAAGAGACCATCCGGGAGCTTTATCAGTCTATACCATGCCTTGTGGCAACTTGCAACCAGGCTAGAGTTGGGTCAGCACCTTATTGAGCTCGTTACTTTGTAACTCTGAAATACATCATTCAATTGTTCTGAAATTTTTATCATTTACTATTCTGTACATAATTATCCTATCCACCAATTTTTGTCTCCATTGAACAACTCCTTCATGCGTCAATTTTTTTGTTATAAAGTGTACTTCGTTTGAAGCAGTCTCTGGATGATTAGTAAGATGCATAGCTGTGCAGTTTATATTGCTGTTTCAATGGAAAGGAAATTAACTGAGTTATTAAATCTGTTTATTTGTGCTCATTGTTAGACCTATATTACCTCAGTACCTATTGTTTAGAATTGTGCATAACTTTTGAACATTGCTTTTATATGCAAAGTAATTTTCTTGAATTAATATTGTAAATAAAATTATAACAGTGATTTTTAATAAATATTTAAGCTTGTCTTTAACAAAAGGTGAAGGCAAAGTGTATGAAAAAGATTATAATTTTCAAGAAAAATGAGAAATTGTGTTTTTTGTTTGTTTGTCTTGGGGGGAGGTGTTATACGTAGTAAAGTTTCAAATTTAATATGTATATGTATGTTTGAATTTTTCCCTTTGCCTTATTATTGTTGTTTACATATATTTTGATAAATATTTACCAAATGGCCATCTAATGAAAACAGAAAACAAAATTCATCTGAAAGAAAGAGTTCATAATTTTAGTTTAATAGAGGGGGGAGGAATATAAGTTTGGAAAAAAAAAATGTAAGTATAGAGGGAAACCATGTGGAAAATGCAATTGAACATTATCAAAATAAACTTTGACATAAACCATGTTCAAAGAAAATTTAACTTTAGAAGTAAAATTTCAAACACATTATAAACTTATATGTAACACACCACACAATGTGTGTCATAAAGGAATTGTATCCATACAATAAGATAAGCATATATATATATATATAGCATATATATATATATATGCTTTCAAATTGTGCATTCGGCCTGTATGCAATATGAGTTTGAGAGTACTGTCTTAAAAATCCAATTTCATCGTCATTGTCATGTTGATTTGTTTTCTTTTCTT